AGCTTTAAATCTCCCCAATAGCAAAGGTTACAAACTATAATAAACGGTTCCCTTCTCGCGCGGCAACATTCTCCGTTTAAGATTCAAATGAATGACGCAGTACGTTCATGGATCGACCGCGAATAGTTGACCTAATGAGGTGTTAATCCAGTGGTCCATCTGCACAAGCACTGAATCAGTTTCCCGATCAAGCCCGTTATAACGCGCCGCTGTAGTTTTATCAAAATGCCGTGTACTCTCATCAATTTGCTCGCTTTGTGCCGAGCGCCGAATGGCGATGTCTCTCCAACAAGGGAAACAGATATCAGCGGGAATGATTAAAACGGATCCGTACAAATGGAGGAGTGGACTTTTGAAAAGCACGACACACGGTCCGCTCCTCTTTCCTCCGGCTCTTTGAAAGCATCGACACCGGTTAGATTCGATCGGGGGACGGGATGCATTCACGCCGTCCGTCTCCTCTTCCTTTTTCGGTCCTCGGAAAGCCGGAAATACGGAAGGAGAAGAAGTGGTCGGACCCCGGCTCGGCCTAATAAGCGAATAACGCGGCGACATGCCTTTCGGCGATTCGCTTTTCGGATTCCATTTCGATCTGTCCCCGTATTGCGCGAATGAAATCACATCGGACGGATCAAAAGCGTCTTACCGGGGGACACTCACCTGGCGCGCGACGCGACGCCCGTGAAATTGTTCCCCCGATGCGATAAATCTCTTTAAAAGCCCGATTGTCTGACCAAATCTCCGTCGGGCTTCGGGAAATCGCGTAAGAGGCTTTCAATGTGTTTTCCTTTTACACCGCTTGGAATCGCTCCGAATGGTTTCCCGCTGAGGCTTTTTATTAATTCTCTTTTAATATTCTGCATATTCAGTCTTTCGAGAGTGAATGCTGGTTCCTCATTTTACCCGGTTTTCGGAGAATAAATATTTATTCTTTTGTGGAATCGTGGCGATCCTATATTTGAAAGTTGGATTATTTAACCAGTTAACTGCGTTTCTTTCCACAATGAATTATTTATTTTTTCAGACAAATATCTAAGTGTTCTTTGTTTTGCTTTGGTTTCTCGTTAAAATATACCTTAGGTGCATTCGCCCTGCGCCTGACGAGTACGCACATTATTTTTTGATTTTATTGCGAGCAAAATGAGAGATTTTTTAAAATAAATTCCACAATTAACAGGTTAAGAATTGGATATCAAAGGTAAATTTGCACAAAGGCATTTTTCGATTGGTGTATTTCTTTGGCTTCGAGGAAATCTATTGTCCTCGGTCCCTTTGACCAAACACTTCGCTTTCTCCCGTGCTCGACGACTCACAGGAATTAGGCAAACGATGAAAATCCTCGGTTCGAAGAATGAACCCGCGCGCGCGTATTAATACCAGGAAATTGTGTCACCGGAGCCACTTGTTTCGCTCTTATTTCACATTTTCCTCGCTTACACTGCTAAGCATGCCCGCCAGCGTCGAAAGAACGAGACATTAATTACATTAGAATGAAACGCGCTTGCTTGCTTAGATACTTGGCCTAGCAAGGATCCTCTTAACGACTGGAGGAGCTAACAGAGCGTGGCCAGGGACTCGCATTCCCCCAACCTATGTCATTGTCAGAAACATTGCCACGGGACGCGGAAAATTGCTTTCGAGGGAAGATTTCTTGCTTCCGTCGATGGGATGGCTCAAGACACACCTGCAAACATGTCTCATGTAAATTAGCAATCGCCATTCAGCCTCTAAAGTATCAGCCACAAAAAGTTCCAATCGTGACGAACCCTATGTCTCAGTCCTCCAATCTTAACCGTCAAAGATTCTAATCAATATCCAATTATGAAACGTACGTTTAGTAAACTTAATTATTTCTACGAACGTATAACTCGATTATCCTACCAAACGAATGCGCTAGAACACGCAAAGCAATGGACCAGGCACTATCAAACGGGGAAAAAGGCTCACGTCGAGTTCCGTTGATCGCTCTCGGAGTTTCGAGTTGCTGTGTTCGCCGGTGGGACAGCGAAATATTCCGTTTCGTCCCATTAAATCGTTTATACGTTTCACTTGGCTCCTTTGCGGGCGGTGTCGCTGCGTTGATGACGGATACCGGGAGTGCAGTGAAAAAGGAGGTGAAAAAGGAGAAACAGGACATCACCGGATTGTATCAAAGGGAGGGTCCTCCGAGTCAGGCGGGTTGGGTAACGGCGACGCGGTCGGGAAACGCGAATTCTCTTTACTTCTCCATTGTCCACGGCCTGCTCCCGATGGGGGTGTATTTGCTTTCCGGTGAAAGTAAACTCCCGGAGCTTTTCATACGCGCGCGACTCGCAGCGCTAACTCAATTTTGCCGGGACGACGCCAGCCGGCGGAGGTTCGACGGCGAACGTGAGCGCGGGGAGGACGCGGTTATTTGCCCTCCCTCGTCTTTTCATGTAAAATATTGGCAAAGATTGGAAATGTCTGTCTTGAACGGAACGGTTGTCGATAGTTAAAATAATACAGCCCCAGCCAAAGGACCGGCGCGACGCCGGAATTGACAAATATTTTTCTGTTGGCTACACCCTTTCGGCCGGGAACAGTGTTCCTTGGGAGGAAAAAGCTTTCGCTCGGATTCAATCTCGAGGGGCAGACAGTATCCTCTTGCACGTGAGAAGTTTTCTTTACCGTAATCAAACGTATTAGGGGCGGAAAAGGCTTTGTAACGTATTGGAGAGAGGATGGATCTCTTTGTGGACGTATGAAGGGAATGTTTGTGTAATTATAAGGGTTTGATAAGGGTTCTGTAAATGATAGTCAGTTTATATTGTGGTAGTAACTTTTGTAAGGATAAACGATGAGAATTGAAAGAGTTAAGTATTTTTTTAAATTTAGAGATTTAGTTGGACAGTGGTTCTGAGTTTTTTAAAATTGTTGTCTGTTTATTTCTCGTTTTGAAATGCTTAAACCGGTATAATATGATATAATAATAGGAGAGGAGTCCGAATTTTCTAGTACGTACTGCTACGTGCTAGTACATTTGTGCTGTGATTAAAAGAATATTTTGCGTGATTAGATACCCGAAATTGTTACGCGCTCTCTTAATTAAGTTTTTTCTTCCACGTTGCACACTGTTTGCATTTATATTCAGTTTAAACGTGCTTCATAATTAATGCAAAACAATTAGTGCTGTGAGTACGTGCGACTTTAAAAGATGTGTATTACGTTTGAAGATATGAATTGTCATGTTAAACGCGTGGAATGTTCAAACACGGGTGAAATGTGTACTTGGGAAACATTATGAAATAGTAACATGTTATTTCTGCTTCAGATTTGCTTAAAAGACGGGATTCTATTCAATGCCTAAACGAAGCAATTGTTTCTAATTTGTAAAAGAAAAAGATCTGTTATTTTTTAAAAGTAGTTAATTCCATTTATTTAGATTATCATCGAATATTTTTCACATAATATGAAAGTAATAAATGAACAGAATGTAGAGTCCATTAAAAGGTTTGTGCAACTTTTTCAAATAACTGAAAATCATTCATTTTTCATTTATAAACACTTTCAATATTAACTCGATTACATTTTCTCCATAATGTGGACCTCCACAAAACCATTGAATTTTAAGTATTTACCTCATTTTTCGTCGAATAATCATCCCCGTTTCTCTTGCGTCACGTGTTACCCTCCGTAACTGTATTCCGAAAGTGATGCAGAACGTACGAAAGGATATGTTCTTGAACGAGGTTCGAGGTACGCTTCCGCAATACGATATTCTGGCAAGGTGAACCCATTGTATAGTCATGAAATCTGTGATTCGCCATTCGAAACACGTTCCCGGTAGAGCGGGTAACGTCGCCAGCGCACAGTTTTATAATACGAATGTATTTATAGGGTGAACGAAGTTGTCCAGACGAAAAGGACAATCATAGGAGTGAAACGACATGCCTGCAACGTTGATGTAGAACGTCTGACAGAAAATACGGAATTGTCGGACATTATTTTTCTAGAAAACAGGTTCTTCTGGAGTATAACCGTTACTTCTAAATATTGAACAAAATTCAGCCTTTCCAATTAACGAGAATTTAATACACTTTCCTTAGAGAGATTTCTTTGTAAAATATCCGAAATTTTTGAACGACAGAATCGTGTGGAAGAATTCAGCTTACGTCGAAGGAAGACATTTTTTAATCATTTTTCATTGGTCTACCATCGATCGATTAGCGAGCGCTCTAAAAGTACAGACTGGCAAGCGAAGTACGGCGAACGACCGAGTGAGCGACAGGATAAAGGAGAGGAGAAACCCACTCACTGTCTTTCGCCAGCCCCGTAGTAACGAAGTTTTCAAAGACAACATCGAGTCTGATATCTAACGAGTTCATTCCACTTCGATGCCACGGCAAAAACTGCAAAGCAGAGATCTCTATCCGCTATCCTTTCTCGGCAAACCCGCCCCTCTGCCTCCGCCCCTCCGCCAACCAGTCTGGAAAACGTGGATGGATCCTTTCATGCATTTCTCGGCCAAGATCCCGGGATCTTTATTTCGTAAAGAATTATTGTGCAAGAGAAAAGTAAGCTTTAACCGCTCGAGTATTTCTCATTGCTGATCTTGCACTTTGTTCCACGGTTAGCTGTACTTCCCGGATTCAGCTCAAAATGAAACGAGTTTCGTGAAATCTGTGAAACAATGTGATTACATTTTGATGTCCAGAATTACTTTTTCTATTTATGAATTGATATATCTACTAAGTGTAACCGTATTTAATATAATACGTGCTGTTGCGCTTGATATTTTCGTTGAGAAACCTAATATCTCTGTTACTGCACTGTTTCGTGTTAAGTGATAATTCTTTCTCATGGTAACTGCTTAATATCTAATTAACACTAGAATTCTTCAATAATGTATATTGATCCATATTTCTTGAAACCACCGCAAGACGGTATTCATACAACATTCATAAATAACAATGTCGCATGCCGCTACGTCATGCAACACAAGCATGCATATAACACGGTGCGATCGTTTGCCCGCTTACCTCTGACTCCGGGGACTGAACGATCAGCGACGTCCTGGGCGGTTTTTCCGGCGCCACTTTCTTCAGCGTGCCCGCGAAGGTGACGGTGGGAGCGGCAGGTGGCGTCGGCACGGCCTCGTGGCCGTCGATCTGACATTGAAGCCGATGGAACTGCGAGAACGAGCCGCGCGACGCGTCAGCCCGCTCGAATTGCGGCAGACATGGCAGCGGCATCTGCGACATGCTCGGTATCTGAATAGAATTCGGGTCGCTGGTGTCGTGTTGAAGCCTGGGTGACAGCTTCTCGCGGACAGACGATTGGCAGGATTGATGATTAGAGTTCTGCGAGTAGGCCGCGGTCAATAACGTTTGATGATGGGTGTGCGGAGGATGCTGGCTCTGCAGCGCGCCGGCTTTGTCGGCCTGGTCTTGATGGTTCGCCAGGGAGTTCGACTGAATCGGATGGATCTCATTGCCGATCATGTATTGCTGAAAGTCCGTGGATCTTTGCAACTTGTCGCACAGCTGGTTTTGCGCCTGCAGGCTGTGCAGTCTGGCCTGCAGGTCACTCTGCTGATGCTGAAACTGTGCCACTTTGTCCAAAATCTGATTTTGATTTTGTAGGCAGTGTAGCTTCGCCTGGAGATCGCTCTGCTGCCTCTCGAACTGGCTTAGCTTCTCGCTAATCAAATCCAAACTGTGCTGGTTCTGCATCTGTTGCTGGTGCGCCTGGGCCGAATCCGATTTATCGCTTTGCGAGTCCAGCTGAGTTTGAAGGTTCTCCGTCTGGCTTTTGCTGTGGGTCAACAGATTGCTAGCGGCTGTGTAACTCTTGCGATGGCTGTGTATTATGTGGTCCACCTGATCGATCGGCTTGCTCAAACTCGGCTCGCCGAAGTCCGTCACCACCGTTAACACTGTTTTAGCGTCCAGCTTTGCCTCGCTAAGTGCTGGGTACTGGTGGCATATATTTGGACTAGCCCTCTGTGACGCAGCGGTGCTCACAGCTGGCCCTAGATTGGCTACCGAACCGCTGATAGGCTGATCATCGAACTCCTTCCTAGACAGCTCCATGTGCTTCGTTAGATCCGCGCTTACGTGACGCAGGTGGCGACGTTGCTCCATGATGGTACTTTGGCTGATATTGGGCAGCGGTTGGAAGGCTGACTGAGTCATCCTACCTTCTTTACGATCATCTACCGAGTGCATCTGTCTGGGATCTCTTCTCTCCTCGGACTGGTTCCGGGACCTAGGGCTAGTAGACATCAGCTGGCTCTGTATTATGTTCTTCTCGTGTTCCTGCCTTTGCCTTTGCTCAGCCCATATCGCCAGCTCCTGTCTAGTCTTCTCGAAGTTCTGATTAACGAACGACGGGCTTTTTTGACTGGCACGATCCGCGGAGGCCTCTCGGATTGGCATGAACGGCATGGGCGACCTCCTCACATCCTCCATCCTCTTTCCCTCTATGGTCATCGGCGAGCGTCTGTGCTCGTCGAAGTAATCGGATCGCCTGTTTTCTTGAGGCATCGCCACTCTTTGATTAGGGCTCACGTTACCCCATTCCGGCTTTCTCTCGGCGCCCATGCTCTTCCTATTCTCCTGCCTTGCATCAAAAGCCATCGGTGATACTCTCAAGCTCGTCTCCAATCGCCTTTGATCAGGCGGGTACACTTGATTGGCTTCGATTCGTTTCGGCTCCTGCATGGCACCGGCTTTTCTACCCGGCATCAATAACTCCTGCCCAGCATCGCCAGGAAACGTGAAAGTAATCGTGTCGTTACGCCGCTGGAAGCTCGACGTTACGTCCACGGAAATAGATTTCCTGTGCTCTGTCCTGCCCACATAGAGACCGCAATCCGGCGTCACCGTATCGCACATTTTTTCCCGCCCGGGTGGATCCCCGTTCGCGTCCACGTACAAGCCGTCCTGTCTTGTCCTGGGCGTCTTATTAATGGTTGTCAGGTATCTCCTATCCTGACCGTCTTGAAGAATCGGTGCCCCCTGCACTATAATCGCCCCGTCGCTACGGTGAATCTGCTCCTGCTGAGGATTCTGACTATGATCGTACTTGGGCTTTAGGGTACCGGCTACGTCCACGCTCGCTGACTTCCTGTGACCAATGTCGTGTGTGATCTTAGAGTTACCTCTAGGCGGCACCATAGGTTTGGGTCCACGACTAGGCCGCTCGGTGGTAGCAATCACTATGCCATGAGCCACGTTCTGAGCGATTGGCTGAATGATAGGTTGTGTCTGGTACTGACCCAGCTCCTGCGAGAATCTCTGAGGGTTCGGCGATTGCTGCCCAAACTGTTGACTAGGATAAATACCGGCGTGAGTTGCGTAGGGTATGACGTTCATCACCGTTTGAGGATATTGGCTATAGGAATATTGAGGCTGGGTGCCGAACTGGTAGCTAGATGGCTGGGGCACTACAACCCCTGAATAATACGGTGGCTGGGGGCTGGCTGATTGCGAGGGTATCTGCGATCCGTGTTGCACGGTCACGTACTGACCTTGGCCCGTGAATACCGGATTCGTCGCGCCGCCTTGGTACAACGCCGGGTCCCTAAAAGTGACGTCCCTGGTCACGTAGCCGGCTCTTTCTGCGTACTGTGCCTGCTGCGAGTACAGCTGTGGCCTGACATCGAATTGACTTCGTATCTGCGTGTATTGGGTCTGATCGTAATCCGGCACGAACTGTGGCTGCGCTTGTACCGGCAGCGTTTGGGTGCTGGTCTGAGAGACGTGTTGCGTTCTTTCTATCCCAGGTTTCTCCTGGTTGTACTGTTGAGGAGGAAGCTGGCCAGTTGGGGGGTGTCTGTCTTCTGGCACGCCCACCACCGATTGTTTCCTGATGGTTGGATACTGAGGCGTCTGTTGGCTTTGTTGCTGCTTTTGATCGTGATTATGCTCTGTTCCCGGATTCTGCTCATACTCTATCGTTCGGTTCTCGAAGCCGTTCGACAAGTCTTGTTTGGCCTTATCGGCCGGCGGCTCGGCTCGCCCGTTTTGACACGTTGTCTGTTGGTTCTCCATCGTCTGGCCCGGCTGGCTCTGCTCCTGACTGTCGTTCGCGCCTCCCGATCCGGACTGCGACATGCTGGCGGCCCCCACCGACGGTCGTCCGCCGATGTAGCCGAGGATTCGCCCCAATCCGCACACCGTGACGACTTATCGGGCAACTCTCCGGTCGGAAATCTAGACACTCGCTCGGACGCGATCGGTTCCGGTGGCGTTTTTACGCCTCGAGGGTTCCACCACGGTGGCTAGAGGCATGTAAACGTCGATATTGGTGTCGTTCACACTACGCTTCGCTGTTACATCTATTTCAATGAATTCCTTTCGAATATGTTTCCTCGCGATCTTCTCCGTTGAATTTTGAAGGAAATTCTTTAGAATCTCCTTTCCGAAAGTTTGAATTATTAATGGTTCTTTTGGTATTTTAAAATACTTTCTCGTATTTTAATCCTTTAAATGCTAGTTCTTCAAATGTTCTTGCAGAATCATTTTCGTTTGACGCGTTAGCGTTTCGTGTATTCATCGAACAATTTCATGCGAAGTTTTTGAACGTTTGCTCCAGCTTTGTGTCTTCGAGCAGACGTTTTGCATTTCCTGTTTCCGGTCGAGTAAATTGGAATACATGTGTATTTAGAAACCTTACGTTAGTTTTGTTGAGTTGTTTGATACTTTTTTCGTTTCGTTATTCTATCTGTTGTAAATCTAAATGAGAAAACTAGCAATATAATCTTAGCCTCGCTGTAATACTGTTCTTTTCGTTTGTGTATGTTTCTTTTCGGCACGGTGTGAGCTACATCACGAGGGAGGGACGTGTTTCTGTTTTTCTTCTCGTTCACCGGCCCGTCCGTAAATACTCGTCGATACGAATCGGCCGCAAGCAAGATTTCGTTTGTATTCCGGTCTCCTTGTCCTCGAATTAGCTTCGGGAAACCTAATTTAAATAGATCCGTTCGGTTCTTTCTTAAAGTATTGATCCTTTATTTCATTTAGGACTCGACGATTTAGAATATATTTTTTTTCGACGTGGAGAATTCGATCGACACTAATATTGCAGCATCGTTCAATCGTGTAAATTCATCGAAACGTTAGAAAAACTCCTCAGTACGTCTTTGATTTTGCTTTACGCGTTTTGAGCATTTTTTGATTACGTTGGGCTATACTTGCCGCGGTTTTCGACAGTTGTCCGTACGCGTTTCGTTGATATCGTGAAGAATGCCTCGATCGACTGATTCAAATTGAAAGACAACATTTGATTATCCTTTGAACTTTTATTTAGAATTTCAGTCACATTTGCTCGTTCGATAAGCGTAGTCTAACGCAGACTTTCACAGAATTCTTCTGTTGCGTTACTCGTTTAATATATCTCATGGAAACTCGGCAGAATCTGTTGCGAAATGGATCTGTAAAAGAAAATCATTAAATGCATCCTACGTTTCGTTTACGTTCTTAAAAGTGTCCCATAATATTCGGCGCATTCGTCGTCTTAGGAGAGTAATCTTCGCCTAATATACAACCAATAAAAACCTTCTTCAATCCACTATGAAATTTCTTCGATGAAAGCTTAGATGAAAATTTATTCGATCGCATGGATCGTTGCGATTGCTTCAATCGCTCATTTCATATTTTCCCATACTTCACGTATCTAAAAACCATTTTACCGCTAAACTTCTAAATAAGGCATACAAATTTCATACTAAATAACCAAATAAAACGATAACGAAGAACAAAGTGTCGGTACATTTATCATTCACTCCATACGAGTGGAAACAGTTTCAATTTGCGCGAACACGAGAGCCAATGCTCCTAAATTCCACGAATGATTCCCGAACACGAGAAGCAGGTTCGAGAGCATTCGTTAATGGCGAAAACAGTGTCTGGCAGCACGTAGAGCGGTGACAATCCGCGTCACAACTTATCTCGGAATGACAAACCGAAACAAAGCGTTCGGTGCTTCAGGGGCGATCTGTTTTCCTCTCCAGGGTGCGAATTGTTTTCGTGATTTCCCAGGCGTCTCGTGATCACTTCAGTTTCTGGGAGCCGGGCCATCTTTCATTGCCGGGAAAGTTACTGCGCGCCGGGCACGGAGAGACACGGCGAAAATTCCTCGTCGCGCCGCGGAAAACCGTATATTATCGGTATCATCCGTTTCTACGGTTACTTTTATAATTTCTCCGCGGTATTCGGTCGACAAGAAACCAATACACCGCGCGCTTTTTGTCGGCCAACGGAGAACGCCTCTGAGTTATACTCGGTTGGCAACGTGGCTGTACTATCGGCGATATACTTTCGAAGGAACACCCATTTCCGTTAAGAATGGAAGGGGAAAGTAGCGTTTTTCGTTTGCCCGTAACGTATGGACCCGAGATATTGCTGGAAATTACAGTTTTTCTGTAACGATTCGCAGAGACGGGAGTTAAATGGGATCTTACTTTTTCGATCAGGAGTTTGGTAACTGTGCAATCTACATCGCGTAGTTGGGAGACATTCAATTCAGTCCGTTTTAGTTTGCACGAGTTAATTCTCGAATGCGATCAATTTATCTGATTAGAATTTATTTGCTAATTCCGTTGGAGATGTTTTAACCCACGATTTGTGTTCTATTCAATCGTAGCGTTTAGAGTATCGGACAACGATCGAACGCCACTTTTGGCATTAATGGTTGCTCGTTAATGAATTGAGAACGTTGTGCGCACGAAAGATTGAAATTTCAAAGCAACATCCTGTTCCATGATTTGAGGGAACGTATACCCATGCTGTTTGCCCGCAAAGATCTGCGGTATCTTGGCCTTGATGGCTAGACCAGCAGATCGACCGATTATTTACCTCTCTAGAGCTACCGACGCACATATGCTGCCTATTCGGAATCCAACACCATCTTTGGGTTTGACTGTGGTTCAGACAGCGCCAATGGATTAGGCTTTGACTCAAACTAGCCAGCACGTTTGACCAGTCCGCACAAAGGGATTGTCCTGATTCGCAATTATGTAGATCGAATTAAATGTCCTTAATTGTCTGATCACTTTCATAGAAAAATTTACAGCGAATATAGAACATTGAATATGGTAAGATAATTCAATTGAAGAAATTAATCTGAATATTACATACTTTTTCTATTGCGACAGCAATAGGAACTTGATGAAATCAGGTCCCCGTCGATTTATGACGCAATCATTTACACGAGCAATAAGGGAAGGTGAATTATAAATGAAACGAACTATCGTGATTGCTCAATAAACAGAAACAGACTACGCCACAGACGAAATCAGCTATCGGAACGGTCAACAACGAACCTTTCCCATTACTTTAAACCGACGTTTCCGCGCAATCGACAGTTTCAACCGCGTCACCAATTTAACGACTCGCCATCAGCTACCTATTGTGCATTGTATCATTCCTGGATTGCTCCAATTGAATCACGGGCTATCGTTTTATCTTTTTCCATGTATGTGCATGTACATCGGAGAAATGATAGGAGTCCGTTCCGAACTCTTTAAAGTTAGTGATCCAGAAGTATTTCCTTGAACGGACTGAAAGGATGACTTTGCATCAAAAAGTGAATCGAAGTAAATCAACGAAATTGTCTCGTACGAGACATTGTTCCCAATATAATCGATTCGAAATCCTTCTTGCACTGGTATCCAGAAGCAAAAATAATGAATAAAGTTAACGCGTCGGTTGTTTTCACTTTATCACGCTCACACTTTCAAACGAGATTACCTCCAAAATGAAGTGTCACATAAAAAAACTCTGTTCCCTTAACTTTACCTTTTTATATTGAACCATCCTCCGCGACGATCTAAAACGAAGAACTTTCGCCCGAAACCAAAATAGCGCCCCGCACACTGTCCGAATATCAAGCATTCCGACGTCGGACAAATAGAACCGGCGCACCTTCGAAGTACGTTCCCATTTTCCGAAAATTGTACTCCATTCGCCGGGGAAACTGAATAAAAGAAATCAGGCTCCGATAGAAGGGTACATAAGAACGTGCACGTCCGTACGAGAGGGTCACTTCGATCGAACGTAGTCAAGGGGTAAATACCCTCGAGGAGAACGTTAAGGTTAGCTCGAAAACATGGAGTTGCGAAGAAAGAGCGTGTACGGGGGGCGGGGGCGGGGTTACTGCTCTATTTTCACCGAGTATTTTTCCTGGACGTGATTCGACGACGATCGACGATCCATCTCCCTTGAAGTTGACAGGAACGTACCATGGAGAACAGTCCGCCGACAGCGAGGACAGATCCTCCTCGTAAGGGTACATTTATGTTACCCATCCAATTCAAAGTTAGTTTCAAGTTCCAGTTAATATTTCAATTAATTCAGTTCATTTTTGTTACGTTTCAACTTAGACAGAAGTCTTCTTAATACTATTAAACACGGAAACGTTTCGATTAAAATAAAAAGCGCCATGCTGCTTTCCAGCTTGCTCTCATCGAGAAAGGCTTTTCGAGCTTAACCTCTGACACGTTGAACAGAACGGTGATCATTGATAACCGGAGCTTCCAAATTGCTTGAAGACAGTTGTGAGAAGAAGACTGATGTCGAATTAAAATGTTTAGTCGCGTGAGAAATTAAATAATAATATAACTTAAGTCTTTGAGTATTTGCTAATAAGTCTTTTGCATTTGAGTTTCTCTCGATTCTTTAGTTTTAGTTTTGTTTATGTTTATAGTTTCGCTTGGTAAGGTGTAACCGATAGACGAATGCTAATTAAATATTAAGAAAGAGATGAAGATGAAAACTGACCAATTATATCGCATATCTGAGTCTAACCATCAAATGATTTCCCAATAGCATGTCCCGACACTCGACAGTCGCCGTTCAGGCACGTTCCGTCAACGTCATCAACTGACCGTTGGATGTTGGAAGCGCAACGTGTTTGAACGGATACGAAATGCTATGTATGAACGGTTCTATCTTATTACCCTCAAGACTCTTTGCTTGAACTGAAATGGTACGTGTTCGAACGGATCTGAAGTACGATCTAATAGTACGAGCGCACCTTCAACCAAATGACGATCCGACACAGAAGCTGAATACCATCGGAGAATATTAACTCATTGCAACGTTAGAAGATGCGC